TCCTCCTCGATCCCTTATCGTAAATGGTTATAATTCCTTATATCTCAAGAGCAGATTGTCGGAGGAGGGTACTCACAAAGGGCGATTGAGACGTCTGGAAGAAATATATTCAGGAACGCGGAGCACGAAATTAAATGGCGTTCAGACTTAATACAATACTGTTTCTATGGAAACAACCGCGACGACAAAATGTAAGCTTGCTATTTTTGGCGTCTACCTTAAATTCAGAATAGTAAAAGCTATACAATTTCTTATATGGCTTCTGCTATCAAATAAAGTTTTGTATGATACTCGACGATAAAGGAAAACTATCCATGTCGTGAAAGTTAATTCACTCAATGTCAAAATATCCCTTTATCGTATAATAAATAACTATAAATTCTACGTACCTACAGGTTAAAATGTGATTCGTGTGTAGGTGTACCCTAAACCTACCATCTACAAAAGTTTGCTAAATAAATTTTCTGTTAAATCAGTCTAATTAGATATCTTGTAACATTGAGTGGCGTATACGTGAAAATATTACGGAATTCAAGCGAAATAGCATTGGGTTTAAAAGTTTCAAAGATTAAAGGAAAGGATTCATATATTTAGCACGGACCATTGATTGCGCTCGTGACAGAAACTAAACAAAATGGAGAAAACTTCCCGTGATACATTCTGATTAAGCAACTAAAAGCGTGGAGTAGCTTTGTCCCATGGCTAAAATATCTCGCTTCTCGGTCATTTAAAGGAAAATTGCCACGCGCTTCCCAGTAAGTAAAATTTAAATTGATATCGATTTTCGAAAAGAAAGAGCCGTACCTAAATGACTTATTCAAAAGAAAAATAAAGAACCGGATTTCCATCATATAATTTAAGTCCTTTTGTGTTTCTTTAGAATTTTATGTAAATTACGCGTCATTATTTTTTATCCATTTATGGCGCCGTAAAATATGTGCGTTGGATGAAGATATCACCCGAATCTGTTTGTCTTTCGGTCTTTGTTTCGGGGTAGCAACTCACCTTAATTGACAAATGTGAACGTAACGAGATCGTGAATTTGTAAGGACTTCGTATTATCTGACTGATAGTTTTAATGAGTACTTTACCGTAAGGCCCTTCCTATTACTGACGAAAAGTTTTAATAACAATAACAGTCTGTCGGATGCTGCTGTTAGAAACTTAACTTGGAATGAAGTTAATCATCTCTGGCGAAGTTCATTAAAAGTTTGCTTGTGTCATAATTTTATCGACTACTATAGCTAGAACAATATCGCCGGAGTAAATCTGACGAAGACGACGTCGGCGTGGCGTTTTAAAATAATATCCGTACCAGAAATATTTGTTCTATAAATTTATAGATGACCGGTAGCTTGTAGCAATAGTAGTCGTGACCAAGAGATCGTGTTGGATGTTCACCAGCAGTGCTTGTCCCGACGACATTGATGAATGTAGTGGAAGACATTGATTGCATCGATTCCTACTACAAACATCGGCGTCCATTGAGCTTTAGAAAATCTAGAGACCCTTCGATGTCGTTTATCAAAAATACCGACGACGGTATAACTATAAATTGTTGAAAATAACAATGACTCTCTTCTTCGGTCGTTACAAATATACGAGCAATTTCAAAGGTCCCGGAGCAAAATATTTTCATTTTATAGCTGGACGGAGTCATTCATTTAAATTTGAATCTAATTAAGTTACGAAACGGCCGGGGCACCTTTTCTAAACCGCCCCCAATCGGAAATGAATCTAGAATGAGGCGAGTTGCGGTTAACATACAATGGATGTTGAATTTCCACCCCTTGTGTACCGGAAACTACGGATGTTACATCGTGTAACATATTTTTGGATATGTGTATACCAAAGGCGAGGAGTACTGGAAATATATTATCTCCGTTATTTTATTACATTGCGCGCTCGATGAATAATGATTGAACTTTTTTGGTTGTTAGTTTTAACCTTTGAAATCATAATTCGTGTATGTATCACTCTTTTCAATATTTTTTCGCACTTCGGACTATTTACAATGTGTTAATGTGTAGATTAACTAGGTAATCTGCTACTAATTTAAAGGAAATTTTCTACTTTAACGGATCTGAACCGTTAGTCAATTTGCACATTAACGTTTTTCTAACATTAGCGGTAACACATACATTGCATTTGCGTCTGGTTTATCTGCAACAGAAACAATGCGGAAAAATTAAAATGACAGAAATTGGCAATTCAGTTCAATGGCAATCACAAAAATATGAAAACGTGTTCTATGTAAAAGCTCTCGTTAAATGACATAGAGGGTCGACACTTGTGTACCTATTAAGGCGCAATTCTATTAGTATACTCAACAAAACCATTTGGAAATGCAAATTACCTTTCTTTAACGGTGTTGATGTTAAATAACTTTTTAATAATACTAATAATAGCTTTTCTTTAGTTTCAACTAATGTAAAATAAAACACTTTCCAAATCAAATAAACAAACTCTCCACGAAACTCTGTTTAGACTAACCAAACAATTTCTTCCACTTCATCCCCAACTAATAAATTATGGGTATTGTTAGAGCCAAGACATTAAATATAAAACCAAAAAGACGAAAGAAAGTTTGCCCAAAGAACCAAATAGTACATCAATAATATTGCAATTTGCAAATAAATAAAATGATTGATTCACTAAATGAACAAAGACTAACAATTTACTGATAAATTTCTGTCGCTCAAAGAGATTGTTGAAATTTAAACTTGAATATTTTAAGGCAATCGGACTTGTACGATGTTGTAAGAAAATGAGTGTTTTACTCCGTAACTCATCTAAATTGATACCCTCATACTGCAGCATTCAGTTTTTTAATTCGTTTTTGAAAAAAAGTAGGGCTTATATATATAATTCACTTTGGCGGCGGTTAAGTATTCTCGATGGAATCATCGTAGAGCCAGTCCGTTTTGGCAAAATATTTCTTTTTCAAGCAATTGAAACCTCCAATACCATAACACTATAATGTTAGATACCTTTCGACTATTTTTCAATGAGACTTCCGCTTTTGAAGACGTATGTTACATACGTACCTACCTACAGTAGGTATAGTTCCCAAACGAAATATTACTATTTATAATAAAAATGTAGGTATGTTTTAATCTTTCTATCAGAACTTTTTGTAATGTACTTATGTACGCAAATAATCCTAGTATTACACCGTCTGCGGTTTAAGACATATGCGTTAGTTCATTTGTTTCATACATGAGGAGAGAGAAAACACTAATTAAATTAAAAATAAACCCTAACAAACTTTTTAATTATAATAATTTCGTAACGTTATAGTTTGACATTTTGTTATAACTGAACCTGCGGTAATTTGGTTAAACAGCTGCTTTGGAACCCTTCGGGTATAATCAACCACTTTAACATTACCATCATGCTCTTGGCTCAAATCCAGTAATTATCCGGCACGAGGAGGACTTAAATAAAAATCACGATTAGCATATTCCCTTTTCTCGTAGTACAAAGGGCACAAATTTGAAGGCAGCAGTAGGTACAGAATTAGAACTCAAATTAAATTCGTGTAGTCATAACTTACGAAAGTTGGAAAACGTGGCTATTTATAAACGGAACCAACCCCTAAAAATTCATTATTCCCGATTAAAGAGGAGAACATTTTTCCGTGTCTACAAGAATTACTTTTTAGTGGGATTAGTCGGCTTAAACATTCCTACACTTTTTAAACCCTCATAAAATGTCTTTGTTAATAAATTACCCTACTCGCCACTATTTAAAACTGTTTTCTCCGCGTATGCAAACGCCGAAGAGGTAATGCAATATCAGTAGTTATTAAGTGAAAAGCTGTAATCGATATTACCCACACCGAGTATTAAAACTACTACATAATAATTTTGCATTTCAAAGGATTATGGAAACTCATTTTGCTTATACGCCTTTCAAAGTTGTCGTACTGAAAGTTCTTTATGCAAGCTCGCGCTTGCAGCATTACAGATAAGAAGAAAATTCAAATAGAAACTTTTAGATTTCACTCAATATTCGAAACGACAAAAATAAAAAGCAATTTAAATTCCCATTAATTTTGATAATCAAATAAATACGCGATCGTAAATCAAAATTAATAAAATTTTAATATGGAGTTATTTGCTCGGAAATGAGATCTTTATTTGATGCCCCTGATTCAACATTAATATAGATATGAATACTAAATTTTAAAATGAAATGAAAACTCCATTGTTGGTTTTTTCTTCTACATGCATGCGTATACAGTTATGTTTAATTCCGCGTTATTTGCTTCCACATTAAATTTATGAAAAAGTTGAAGAAATTCCTTTTTTATGAAATATTACACGGCACAAACACATTTCTCGCATATAAAGATGTAGAGCAATAAACGTTTATTTGGAGGAATTTAAAAATGAATGAACAGCATTGAAAATTTTTTTAGTTAGTAAGTAAACAATGTTTTTGCTCTAATTTCAGATTGTGTAACTGACGTTTTCAACGAATCGGGGGTAATTCATTTCAGTAAATAAGTTACGTAATGTGCGTGCAGTGCAAGAAATTGTTGAACATTTGATGAGGGTAAAAGAACAGCTACTGTTATCTTTTAGATGATGGCACAATGGCTTTATAGAAATGGGATACACAAAAAGAGCCATTATAATTTAATTGAAAATTGGAATAGGAAATATTGATTTAGTTTAGAAACTTTGTGATAAGACATATACAAGCTGACACCCTCAATTAAAAATTATGTTAGTTATTGATATGAAAAAAGACACTTACCTTTAGCTTCTCTCCATCCACGCCACCTCAAGGAACCTCAAAGACAAACTGCCGTAATCAAACCTGATACCAGACCACGCTAATACTGGTCCAGAAATTTGAAGGAAACTTAATACTTACCTACTTATCATACTTACTATCGCAAAACGAGCGTTTGTACAGGTTCAATAGATTAATCAGTATTTTAATTTTATTATAAATAACAAAACAAAAATGATATTTACATTTTCAGTGGCTTGCTACAAATGTTACAAATATGAATTAGTTTATAACAATATTATTTACACGCGCCACACGATAATATAACCTAGATCACAATAGTTTAACAATTACTTAGGATTTTCTCTAATCGACATATTGCTAAAGAATAATAGGAATTCAGTCAAGATTGTATCAAGTTTTAGAAAATATCTACACGTGTATAAAAAAAGATCAGTCGTCACAGCTTTCTATGATATATTATATAAAACCCTTTTTCGGCAAATTTTTGAAACTATGGACGGGTGATTCGTTTCTGAGAGGAGATGATTGCGAGAGGGGAAGACCAAAGAGTTAAAGGGTAACTAAACATCTAACGACTAGTCAACAAATGGAGGAGGCAATTTGTTTAAGTTTGTGTTTCACTTGACGCATCGCTTCATTTGGCACTGCGATGGTGGTGGTTTTATGGCCGGGGTTGAAGGGCCCGCTTCGGCGTATAAACACGAAGATTCGCTACACGAGCATGTGGTGTCGTGGCTGCTCGAACAAGAGTGTTTATCAGTCTCGACGTCGGCGTCCCCGTCGTCCCAATTAAAGTGATTTCCCCACACTTTATTATCACAGTTGTGCGAGTGATGGTAGTGTCCTCTGGGGGTGGACCTGCGACCGGAACTACCACTGGCAAGGGAACAATGTGCGTCGCAGTTGGTACACGGGTTGTTTCCTCTAGGGTACTGTGGAAGTCTATTGTTGCACAGACTGGGTTGATTAGGAACATGAACGGCGTAGCAGGCGTAACCACCGCTTCCACAGCTGCTGCCGCCGCGTGGTGGCGGTATTGGTGGGTTTTCGCGGGGACATTCGGGTGGAGGGTGGTCGGGAGGCGGTGGTATTAATTCCGACCATGTCGGTGGTGGTAAAAGCATCGTGGTCGCGTACGGGGTCGGATTTTCTGGTGATTTTCGACAGTTGTAGAATGTCGACATGCTTTTGGTATCTACCTCGGCATAGTCGGCGGGTTGTGGCGCTAAAGGAATCGAAGAATCCTTGTCACAGTCTGCTGGTCGCCACCCACGATCAATCCACAGGCTTTCTTTTGTGTTTAGCTGCGTTGCGTTGACAACTGGGACGTTGAGGTGTCCCAGTTGTTTACTCAGCGAATGCTTTCGTTTTAGGTATAAAAATCCACCGGTTCCGATCAACAATAACAAGGCCAATACTGCCAGCAGAACCACGAACCACGTTTGCCTCACTAGAGGTACAAACGGGCCCAGAGTCCTGGGACTCTGTGCTCTTGGCGAAATTAGCAAAGGGACGGCAGTAGAGAATGGGCCCATACCGATCTGCGTTAAAGCCGCTACTCTTGCATTATAAGAACCCCCACTAGTTAGGTTACTGACCAAAACTGATGTCGTAGTGGAGTTTAATGTTAAAGAACGAATTGCGCTGCCTTTAATTTGCAACTTATACCCCACAATTATCCCGTTGTGGTGTTGAGGTGGAGGCGGCGACCATCGGACCCATCCAGTCGTTTCATTAAACAAGCCAGCGGTAATACTATCAGGTGGTGCTGACGGTACATCTTCTAACGTTTGCGATATTTGCGAGTTTGAAGGTTGCCCTTCGACAGATTTATAAAACGGCGAAAGGAAAAATTCGTATTTGGTATACTTCTTTAAATTCGTCACCGCGTAACTACCACTTTGTACGTCTAGGACGGTAAGAATATTGTAATTGTGGGAACCGCCAGATAACTCGCGAAACCGAATGTAAATACCTTCAACGTAATCAGGCGCGGTAACCGATAACGTCCACAGCAATTTTACCGAGCTTGAAGATAACGGACGGGCATCTCGTAGCTCTACAATTTTAGTACTCAACATAGATCTCGCGGTGTCGAGCTCGGAACGTGGAACCGCTCTCGAATTGCTTAACGTTCGAGCAACTGACGATACCGTGCTGGCAGGAGACAGTCCGTGAGCGTTTTCCGCGCGCACTATAAACACATAGGAACTATCGGGTTTCAGTTCGCGCACTGACATATAAGGACTGGAGACGCGATGCGCCGCAACCACCCAGCCAGTTTGCAGATCGGGGCTCCAATATTCAACAGTGTAACCTACCAGATTTTCTTCATCGTCACTATCCCAAGACAACACAATGCTCGATTCCGTTACGTTCAAAATCCGCGGTTTGCTGGGAGCCTTCGGAAACGTCGACGGATCCGGACTTCGATGTAGCGGTGTAGCCGAGCCCTCGACGACGCTCAGAGATGCCGACCAAGAGCTCTCTCCACTTTCGGTAACCGCCGAGCAAGTATACAAGGCAGAATCGTCGAGGCGTAAATCTACAAGCCATCTTTGAAAAAAACGCAACAGGCAAGCAACACCTACCATCAATATCCAAAACGCCATTACTGCTAATTGTGTACCTATCTGGAAGACTAACGTGCTGCAAGATCTTCCCGTCTTTCAACCAACGTGTTTTGGGCTGTTCCCCTTCAGGACTGGATGCCTTACAATGCAGAGTCACCATGCTGTGCAACGGCAAGGTTTGATTGGCAGGACCTATCTGGATTATCGGAGGCGGGAAGTCCGCAACAGAAATGACCTAAACATCCCCACTGAATATTTCGCACTTAATTGACACACTCACCTGAAGAAATGCCCTCACGCTACTAGAACCCGCAACGCTCAACGCCGAGCAAACCAAAAACCCCGCGTCCTCCCTCTGGACTCCTTGAATTTTCAAGGTGCCCTGCGAATTGACATGCATATGCCCGTAAGACGTTTCCGGGAACATCAACAGTTGCGAACCTTCCTTACTCCAAAACACCGAAGGCGGCGGATTGCCAGAAGCCGCGCAGTTGAATTCGACAATACCATTAAGACTAACTTTTTGGTCCCTCGGTTTCTCAATGAATGTAGGAGGCGCTGAAATTTCACAATTAGCCTTTATCAATGGAGAAACTGCTTACAGTTGACAGTCAGTGAAGCTCGCGCAGTCACGCTTCCGACCAAATTTTCCGCGTCACAAATGTATAAACCTTCATCCGAAGTCTGGACGCTGTCGATCAAGAGCGACTTATCGTCCATGATTCGCGCCCTTCCAATGGGCATCTTACCGTCTTCTCTTCGCCAAAGCACATTGGGGACAGGTTCACCGTCGACCGCGCATTGAAAAACAACCCTCTGCCCCACCAACGTGATTACATCTTGAGGTTCTTTATTAAAAAAGGGTTTCACTGAAATTGGGAGTAGTGAAACACCTGAAAGGGAGCGATTGGCTTACCGTGGACGGTGAGCATGGCCGGCGGCGTCTCCTTAGAACCGACAAGGTTGTGGGCGACGCACTGGTAACGTCCCTCGTCGTGCTGCCTAACATCTGAGATCATCAAATTGCCACCGTCTACGATTCGTATTCTTCGAGTGTCGAGTTCGACTTCGCTACCGTCTTTTTTCCAAACGACGTTTGGCTCAGGGTGTCCTTTTGGGGGACCGCATTGCAGTAGAGCCGTTTCTCCAGCCGCCACTCTCGTATCCGTTGGAGCAACACGAAATTCGTCCCGTAAAACTGAAACAAAAAGAAACAAGTTAGCCGGAATGTACAAGAGGGTACAATTTCGTCTTAGTTGCTGGTACTTAATGTAAAAAATTACCCCAGTTTCCCAATTTCACTCAAGTATTTAATACATACGTAAATATTATAACCAAAATGCGGTAGTTTGCTGGCCCGTACGAAGAAAAACTATCGACAACAATCAAACTATTACCTAGATCTGTTACGTATTGACTAAAGCTAATAAGTCAATTCGTATTTATATAAAAGAAATTTAACGGAATTCAAGACGAATGTTAATGTGAAGTTAATTAGAATTTATAAAAATTTCGTAAGAATTGAATAGCACTACACAAAAATTAATAACAATTCCAGATAATTCTAATCAAAAGATGACGAATAAGAGCAATGTTGAAAGAAGTTTTCTGGAAAACTTAAGAAGGACGAATTGTGCAATTTAAAAGGGAATTTTACAAAATATTCAAGAATTCAAGGGAAGATATAATGTACTATTAGAGGACTGAAGAACACTAATAGCTTTTCCAGAAAGAATACAAATGGCCAAACAAATATAAGTAGGTACCTATGTAACTGTATTCTGTAATTTTTCTACCTAATCAAATGTAATCCAACAAACCATAAATGGGTGCCAAAAGTTGATTTGGAAATACCTTCCTATAAATTAAAATCATCTTAACAATTTGGTTCTGTTGATAAGATAGCAAATTAATTAAAAAGTCCTAGGGAGAGCGTTAAGACTTTTTGGTCGATTTTTGAAGCAAGTAAATTGTTTTTGAAGACTACATAGGAACCAGGGAAGGGTCAGGACAAGGTAAAAATTTGCTCGTGTACTTCAGCGCCGATCTTAACGTATCCAAGGATTATTAATTTTATTCGTGACTGTAGACTGTATACCTGATCGATCCCTTAAAACAGAATTCACTCGAAAATAATAAATAATAAAATTGTAAGATCCAATTCTTTTTCAAATTAAATCAGTTTCTGTACTGATAGATGATCTCGACGAGACAATGCCGATTCGTTCCAAAAACCCGTCTACTAGTTTTTTACGTCGAATGTATAAATAATTCCACCTCGTTGAACAAAAACTAGAACGCATCTTCTCCTTACAGCTCCAGCGCGAGAGATATACAGTTTCTAAATTTGTGTAAATTAAATTTATCCGTGCGTCGAATGCTGAACTACGCAATCAATTAAATTTCAAAAGGGGGGAAATGTATGTAAATGCAATATCTACATAAATGAAGCTTTTGCGGGATACGAAAGTCAATCGTCGGGGCACATAAAAGTTAATGTATAATATACCTAAAGTTATATAAACCCATTCACCTGCCAGACAATACTCACAACATTCCTTCCTAATGGCTCAATATAGATGTAATTTGACTCGCCCTACTGAATTCTTACTTGCTCGCGAATTGGCAATATTTAATGGGCCGTAGAGCTCGATTTTATTGTTCTTCTCTCCACACTGCAAAGCCATTACGCCCTTAACTTTATGTATACGTATTAAATTTATATTCGTCTGCGGTCTACACACACTCCACTCTTCAAAATTCGATAACACCGTAAAAGGCTTGCCTCGAATCAAGCAAAAAAACACACAGACCTACTCGTAATTTAACGAATTTTTGTACGCGCCGCAAAAAATATCCCTTTCGAAGTTTTAACAAAACGAGTGAAGTCAGAATTCGTCCATAACATAAACGAGATGACAGAAGGACTGGAATGTTGAAGTGAAGCTGGACACGGTCTGAATCTTAAAATGAGATTATATTTACTTTAGTAGCTGTTTTGTCGGAAATATATATATACTGCTGAATCCTAATTTGATCAATTATTTAACAAAATTAGGTTCCTTATCTACATTAAAATGGCGAAAAAGGATTATTCGCTTTGTTTAATGTGGGTGCAATTGAGACATCTTTCGCTTTGTGTAATTAAGAGGAGGTATAATTTAAGCATAATCGTTACAGTTTAGCTTTTAAGGCTCCCTCATGTTAATTGTCGCAGATGATTATTTATTTAAACCATGGTTAACCTTCAATCCGGATCATTATCCAAAATGGAGAAATGCTGTTTACGACCATAAAGTTCTAGACGGATTTTTGTAAAATTTCGTAAATTTACTTGAAATTTTTGTTCTTAGTTCCATATACCACTCACAGAAGTAGTTCGAAATTTAGGAATTAAAAAATGCGTAATTTCAATACATACAATTTCAAGAAAAAAAGGCACCTTCGTTTTTACCAAAAATCGACTGCACCCAAATTTCTCGGGAAAACACTTTTTCTTATTAATTTTGGTGCGTAGAATCCAAAACAATTCGTACTTTTTCGATCAGACTTCTCAATCAAAAGTTATAGACTAGAAACCAATTTCGAAAGAAAATTCAAAGGGCTGTAACTTTTGAACTAGTAGCCCAATCTTGGAACTGTTTGAAATTATGGATTCTACAGGCCACATTCTATAAGAAAATTTTTTTTCCGGGTCGATCTGAGACAATTTTTTTTCGGGGCTCAAAAAAAGGCAGTGTATAACCTTCCTTTTTTACCAAAAATCGACTGCACCAAAATTTCTCGGGAAAACACTTTTTCTTATTAATTTTGGTGCGTAGAATCCAAAACAATTCGTACTTTTTCGATCGAACTTCTCAATCAAAAGTTATGGACTAGAAACCAATTTCGAAAGAAAATTCAAAGGGCTGTAACTTCTGAACTAGTAGCACAAATCCTTGACTTGATTTGACAGTCAATACTTGACTTGATTTCAAGTCGAGTTCAAGTAGCTTGAAACGTCAAGTAGTGAATCCCTAGATTAGTACAACGAAGATTGAGTTTTCAAAAATCGTGACTCTGGACAGTGATTATTAATATTAAAATTCATATTGTAATGGATACAAATACATTAATTAAAAGATTCCCCATTTTTTTTAACTTTAACAGAATTCGTGCGGGTTTAGATATAAGTTATATAAATTGCCGAGCTATGTATCAAACATTTAAAGTTCACATTTGTATCATAAACAACTAGCGTGAGCTTTTACAATATTTTCTATCCATTTTATTCCAATTCGCTTCTCCTAATGGACACTAAGTATGGATAAACATCACCGATGCTCGATAAATCAGACTTGCTCTATTTCGGCCGCTACAAATAAAAAGTCTCTCTTGTTTCGATCCCTCCCGTAAATCACGAAGTGCTTAAATTTATTTCGTTTTTTTATCAAACCGAGCTTTAGTCGATTTTTCGTTTTCATGTAGATTGTATTTTAAGTCGTTGATGCTAATTTTTATAAATGAATCTTCTTCATGTCATCCGCCAACGTGTCGCTCTTTTGGAGCAATCTAAAGAAGAATATGATGATTTATGGTGTAGACTATGTAAATGATAAGCATAAAAGGTACTACATACGTGTGGGTATATGGGATTATGTCGGGGATCATTTTTCATGATTGTATATATGTAGTTAATGGATCGAAAGCCATTAAAATTTTCTTAAATTTTATAATGCGTTTATACGGCGACATCGGGCTGGGGGAACTGAAAACCATATGTGAAAGGCTCCCGAAAGGAAATTCAATATCTAACCAACTCTGTATTTTATCGTCTATATATCATTTCAATTGATTCTCGAGAATTTCCTCTGTATCTTTTAAATATTATATGCGAGTAGATGGGATATTTGACCTTTCTGAAATGGTAAGTCGATACGAGACCGTGTCGATAATTGTTTTCCGTATTGCATGTAGATTTGTCAAAATAGGATGTCGTGTTTGATGGTCGTTCTTTTGCTTGTATTATGCTCACCGCCATTATTTCTTTACTCGATTCTTCTGCGTGATTGCGAGGACCCTTTTCGTGATTCGTAGATCTGATATACTACTTTTACGGCCGTCTTCGACTACCTTGAGGTTTACCCTTTTCTGCAAATGCGGCGATTTCTGTTTATATTAGGTTGTCTGATTAGATTCGCTCGGTGTATAAAACGTCAACGTGTATAAATTCTGTTGCGAAAAGAGAGCCCTCTCGATTTTTGAAAGCGGTATCGTAAAATTTTATTCATCCAAAGAGGAAAAGTAAAAGTTTAAATTATTCCGCAATCTGTTACATTCTGCAGCGAAATCTGCAGCTTTCCCTCAACTGCCTGCCCGCCTGCATGCAACATCATCAACCCTAATTAGAGTAATGCAGAGTTCCTGAATCCCAGATTAGGGGCTCTTCACTCGCTGCAGTGAATTTCAACTGCATTCCCGCTTTCATTCGGGAAATTATAAAATAATTGTTCACGGCAGAATAAATTTCATAAGAAACTTATGACTTGAAAATGTGGTAACATCTGCACTTACCACGCTGTCTTCATTTTATAAAGTCTTTACGCCATCTTAATTTCATTTTAATAAAGACTTCAAAGCCGCGTGTTGCGCGCTTTCCTCCGAAATAATATCTCGGTGTTTTTAACATCAATTAATATTAATTTATAGATGCCATTAATCTAAATTAAATTTTGGGTTAAGTGGAGGTTTTAACCTTAAATCATTAAATTTTCAGTATAAATCAAGGAGTGGTATTCTTGTGCGGAATTTCGTTTAAAGGCTAATTACATGTATATCACCGTATAATATTAAAGGAATTAAAAGATCTTAAATTTTTCATTTTCATCCCTTAACAAAAAAAATGAATAATCCAAGGCAGAAATTTCATATTGCTGATGGTTCTTTCGAAATGGGAATTATTTATTATATAGAAAGTTCATTGTGATTATTATCAACTGCTAAAGGAAATGTGATACCCTTACATGGTACACCTATCAGCTCAAATGACCACATTTAAATTAGCATTTGATGATGTTAAATTGACAAGATCGAAGATATTTTTACTTTGTTATTTTTATATGCAAATAAATACCTGTTCTTTTGATTTCTATCTTATATAGTCGTGTCTTTTTAAGGTACTGCCACCTTATCCTAAGACAACACACACTAAAACACAAA